CGTCTTCAAGTATCTTCTGCTTCTATCAACTTTTCTGTACTCGACTGAAGAAACCTACTGTGTAGGCGAAACGTTTCGAAATAAAGATACCTAACTGTTGCATATGTGTCTTACCTAACAATTCTACAGGATATGTGCGGAGTTTATACTGGACTGAGGAAGCTACTGGTGGGCGAAACGTTGTCACAATAAACGTAAGTGTTACATAAATGTCTAATTAATCATCCTGTTTTATGAAGTCAAATTAACTCGTATTAAACAACTGTTGAAGAATAAACGGAAGGGTGGACCAGGGGATCGAACCGCGGTCTGTAAATTACCAATCCGATGCCCTACCGTCTAGGCTGACCCAGAAGTGGTGCCGTCAGAGGCACCAACTGTAGCCCAACTGAACTCCTTCCCTCGGCCCAGGAGCTTTAACAGTAGACCTATTCTACCCCCCAAGACTACATCGTGTATGAACTCAAATTAAGTTATAACAATCAACTGTCAAACAGAATGGTGACAAGCGTCAGACTGTCAATTTACGGACCGCGGTTCGAGCCCCTGGTCCAACCTTCTGTTTCTTCAAGCAGTATTATTTTTGGCACTGTTTTTGTAAGGTCTTTAAAATGACGGGAATTTTATGTAAAGATTTGTATATACTAAGTACATTGGAATTTTCAATTTTCACTGTCAAACCTCAGGTAGGTTCCTCAGCCTTGGAGCTGGTTGAACATCAAAATGGTATACAATACCGACAGGTTGTTAGGTAAGACACGTTTCGGAATAAAGTTGTCTAACTGTTGCATATGTGTCTTACCTAACAACCTGTCGGTATTGTATACCATTTTGATGTTCATCTTGTCAGACACTGCAACACATGGCATCTTGGTACAGAAAATACCTTGGACAACCTTTTCAAGTGAGAAGTGTTGGATCTGAGAGGGACATGACCTCTCAGTGGCTACATTCTCACTACTACTACTACTACTCTGCACCTCTCCTTCCCACAGTATTTAAGTCTCCGCACTGTCGCTTGATCTTCAGATAGTTCCTGACTATGGAACTGAACTTCTCCAGGCTGAGGGACTGACAACCTCAAATTCTACGACTTTAAGGGTGATAACTGATTACATCGTCTTCACATCTCTACTGTTCCTGCCTACTTTCTGTATTCAACTGAAGAACCCTACTGTGTAGGCGAAACGTTTCGGAATAAAGTTGCCTAACTGTTGCATATGTGTCTTACCTACCAACTTGGAGCTGGTGTTGAGAGCACCATGGTCGTAGAGATTCTGAAGCACAGGTAGAGGACATCTACAAGACCTTCTTCACGGCTGCTACAACTAACCCATCTCTTTGGGAAGGACCTACTTCCACTGGGGAATCCCACCTACCAGTGACTATGCCCTCGTCTGCTACACGTCCCTATCCACTGAAACCTATATAAGCGCCAGTCACCTTGCCTGTGCTTCAGAATCTCCACCACCACGGTGCTGTCAACACCAACTCCAAGGCTGAGGGACTGATTACCCCATCTTTTGTATATAGTTCTTCTCAGCTACGTTATTCATGGTGTCCAGTACCTCAGCAAAAGAAAGACGCTCTTGTCATTTCATCAAATTAACCATACATCAATTGTGATGGAGCTGTTGCTGGTAAGGTTGTGCATCTCTCCAACCTCCCATACATCAATTTTGATGCTGCTGTACTGGTAAGGTTGTTCATCTCTCCAACCTCCCATACATCAATTGTGATGCTGCTGTACTGGTAAGGTTGTTCATCTCACCAACCTACCATACATCAATTGTGATGCTGCTGTACTGGTAAGGTTGTTCATCTCACCAACCTACCATACATCAATTGTGATGCTGCTGTACTGGTAAGGTTGTTCATCTCACCAACCTACCATACATCAATTGTGATGCTGCTGTACTGGTAAGGTTGTTCATCTCACCAACCTACCATACATCAATTCACATATAAAAAAGATACCCAACTGTTGCACATGTATCTTACATAGTTAAATGTGTCTAAGATGAGGTATACAATATACCCATCAATTTGTCGGTATACAACACCAACAATCTGATGAGACACATTAACAAGACTGTCCCTCACTCGAGATGGAACATTACGAGCCCAACATTTAATAAACACAAATTACGAAACCATTCATTTTTTTCCAATCAGCAAATACCATTATATCAAATCTATAAAGTCGCTACGAAAAAAAAATTAGGAAAGAAATGGGTGGACAGATTTCATCTAAATTCCAAGAATATTTTGACAATATTCTTGTAATAATATGTTGGCAGAATTACCGTGGCATTTTATTGTGGTAACGTTTCGCTCTCCGGCTTGACAAAGCTCCTGGAGAGCGAAACGTTGCCACAATAAAACGTCACATTAGTTGCACTTGTGTCCTTTTACTTGACAATGTTCTTCAAGAAAGACACACCTGGTAACAGTCGACGAGAGACTTCCCGTTGGAACGGAAAACTTAAACGGTAAACGGAGGGAGAAGTGTCTTCTGGGAGTGTGACGATCACTGTTGCTGCTCAAGTGATGTTTTTATCAGAGTGGATGACACTGGAATAACACCCACATCCACCTGCTGGGTATTGTGGATGACTGTAGCCAGGTAACGTTCATACACACTAGCTGAGAGCTATACAAACTGAGAGCTATACAAGCTGAGAGCTATATAAACTAGCTGAGAGCTATACACACTAGCTGAGAGTTATACAAACTAGCTGAGAGCTATACACACTAGCTGAGAGCTATACAAACTGAGAGCTATACAAGCTGAGAGCTATATAAACTAGCTGAGAGCTATACAAGCTGAGAGTTATACAAACTAGCTGAGAGCTATACAAACTAGCTGAGAGCTATACAAACTGAGAGCTATACACGCTGAGAGCTATACAAACTAGCTGAGAGCTATACAAACTAGCTGAGAGCTATACAAACTGAGAGCTATACAAGCTGAGAGCTATACAAACTAGCTGAGAGCTATACAAACTGAGAGCTATACAAGCTGAGAGCTATATAAACTAGCTGAGAGCTATACAAGCTGAGAGTTATACAAACTAGCTGAGAGCTATACAAACTAGCTGAGAGCTATACAAACTGAGAGGGTATACAAGCTGAGAGCTATATAAACTAGCTGAGAGCTATACAAGCTGAGAGTTATACAAACTAGCTGAGAGCTATACAAACTAGCTGAGAGCTATACAAACTGAGAGCTATACAAGCTGAGAGCTATACAAACTAGCTGAGAGCTATACAAACTGAGAGCTATACAAGCTGAGAGCTATACAAACTAGCTGAGAGCTATACAAGCTGAGAGTTATACAAACTAGCTGAGAGCTATACAAACTAGCTGAGAGCTATACAAACTAGCTGAGAGCTATACAAACTGAGAGCTATACAAGCTGAGAGCTATACAAACTGAGAGCTATACAAGCTGAGAGCTATACAAGCTGAGAGCTATACAAGCTGAGAGCTATACAAACTGAGAGCTATACAAACTGAGAGCTATACAAACTGAGAGCTATACAAACTGAGAGCTATACAAACTGAGAGCTATACAAACTGAGAGCTATACAAACTGAGAGCTATACAAGCTGAGAGCTATACAAACTGAGAGCTAAACAAACTAGCTGAGAGCTATACAAACTGAGAGCTATACAAACTGAGAGCTATACAAACTAGCTGAGAGCTATACAAACTAGCTGAGAGCTATACAAACTGAGAGCTACACAAGCTGAGAGCTATACAAACTAGCTGAGAGCTATACAAACTGAGAGCTATACAAACTGAGAGTTATACAAACTAGCTGAGAGCTATACAAACTAGCTGAGAGCTATACAAACTAGCTGAGAGCTATACAAACTAGCTGAGAGCTATACAAACTGAGAGCTACACAAGCTGAGAGCTATACAAACTAGCTGAGAGCTATACAAACTGAGAGCTATACAAACTGAGAGCTATACAAACTGAGAGCTATACAAACTGAGAGCTACACAAGCTGAGAGCTATACAAACTAGCTGAGAGCTATACAAACTGAGAGCTATACAAACTGAGAGCTACACAAGCTGAGAGCTATACAAACTAGCTGAGAGCTATACAAACTGAGAGCTATACAAACTAGCTGAGAGCTATACAAACTAGCTGAGAGCTATACAAACTAGCTGAGAGCTATACAAACTGAGAGCTATACAAACTGAGAGCTATACAAACTGAGAGCTATACAAACTGAGAGCTATACAAACTGAGAGCTATACAAACTAGCTAAATGGTATTAAATCTGACTGAATTTCATTACATAGTACTGAACATACAACTCACTAGGGATATTGATCATACAACTCACTAGTATTGAATATACTGATCACTAGTACACATCACTAGTATTGATCAATACAAATCACTGGTATTGATCATACTGATCACTAGTACCGATCATAGAAATTACTAGTATTGATCATACTGATCACTAGTATTGATCATACTGATCACTAGTACCGATCATAGAAATTACTAGTATTGATCATACTGATCACTAGTATTGATCATACTGATCACTAGTACCGATCATAGAAATTACTAGTATTGATCATACTGATCACTAGTATTGATCATACTGATCACTAGTACCGATCATAGAAATTACTAGTATTGATCATACTGATCACTAGTATTGATCATACTGATCACTAGTACCGATCATAGAAATTACTAGTATTGATCATACAAATCAATAGCACTGATTATACAAAACATTAATATTGACCATACAAATCATCAGAAATATAAAAAAAATACCAATTATACAAATCACAAGTGACATTTACACATACAAATCACCATCCAAGGAACTGGAGCTATGTAACTATGACGGGAAGTCTGTTGAACAGTCCTGGGCCTCTTACACTGACTAGTGTCGACCTAACACTGGGAGAAGATGCAGGAGCCTTACTGGTTTAGCGCTTCAAACTAAATGAACACTGACCTTGTTGTCTATGAGATCTCTCCTGCAGAAGGCGTGGACGGCAGGGGCAACCAGGGTAGGGTACTCCCTTAGGAGGGCAGCCACGCCCACGGGCACGCAGGCGTGGGCAACGTGCTGCTCTCTGCTGATCTTGCCAGGGTACCTGTGTGGTGGGTAGGTGGTTAGTGGTGTGGTTCCTGTGTGGTGGGTAGGTGGTTAGTGGTGTGGTACCTGTGTGGTGGGTAGGTGGTTAGTGGTGTGGTACCTGTGTGGTGGGTAGGTGGTTAGTGGTGTGGTACCTGTGTGGTGGGTAGGTGGTTAGTGGTGTGGTACCTGTGTGGTGGGTAGGTGGTTAGTGGTGTGGTGGGTAGGTGGTTAGTGATGTGGTACCTGTGTGGTGGGCAGGTGGTTAGTGGTGTGGGTACCTGTGTGGTGGGTAGGTGGTCAGTGGTGTGGTAACTGTGTGGTGGGTAGGTGGTTAGTGGCGTGGTGGGTAGGTGGTTAGTGGTGTGGTACCTGTGTGGATGGGTAGGTAGGTAGTGGTGTGGTACCTGTGTGGTGGGTAGGTAGTGGTGTGATACCTGTGGCGTGGGTAGGTGGTTAGTGTGGTACCTGTGTGGTGGGTAAGTGGTTAGTGGTGTGGTACCTGTGTGGTGGGTAGGTAGTAGTGTGATACCTGTGTAATGGGTAGGTGGTTAGTGTGTGGTACCCATGTAATGGGTAGGTAGTGGTGTGGTACCTGTGTGGTGGGTAGGTGGTTAGTGGTGTGGTACCTGTGTGTGTGTGGGTAGGTGGTTAGTGGTGTGGTACCTGTGTGGTGGGTAGGTGGTTAGTGGTGTGGTACCTGTGTGGTGGATAGGTGGTTAGTGGTGTGGTACCTGTGTGGTGGGTAGGTGGTTAGTGGTGTGGTACCTGTGTGGGTAGGTGGTTAGTGGTGTGGTACCTGTGTGGTGGATAGGTGGTTAGTGGTGTGGTACCTGTGTGGTGGGTAGGTAGGTAGTGGTGTGGTACCTGTGTGGTGGGTAGGTAGTTAGTGATGTGTACCTGTGTAATGGGTAGGTAGTGGTGTGGTACCTGTGTGGTGGGCAGGGTGGTTAGTGGCGTGGTACCTGTATGGTGGGCAGGGTGGTTAGTGGCGTGGTACCTGTGTGGTGGGTAGGGTGGTTAGTGGCGTGGTACCTGTATGGTGGGTAGGGTGGTTAGTGGCGTGGTACCTGTATGGTGGGTAGTACGTACATGGGGAGGTGAATAGTACCTGTGGGGGTATGTGAGTAGTACCAGTGTGGGTAGGCGGGTAGTACCAGTGTGGGTAGGCGGGTAGTACCAGTGTGGGTAGGTGGGTAGTACCAGTGTGGGTAGGTGGGAAGCACCAATGTGGGTTGGTAGGCGGGTAGTACCAGTGTGGGTAGGCGGGTAGTACCAGTGTGGGTAGGTGGGTAGTACCAGTGTGGGTAGGTGGGAAGCACCAATGTGGGTTGGTAGGTAGCACCAGTTTAGGTAGGTGGGTAGTACCAGCGTAGGCAGGTGGATAGTACCAGCTTGGGTAGGTGGGTAGTAATAGTGTCGGTAGGTGGTAGTATCATCTTGAGTAGGTGGGTAGTACCAGTGTAGGTAGGTGGGTAGTACCAGTATAGGTAGGTGGGTAGTACCAGTGTGGGTAGGTGGGTAGCACCAGTTGGTAGGTGGGTAGTACCAGTGTAGGTAGGTGGGTAGTACCAGTATAGGTAGGTGGGTAGTAATAGTGTAGGTAGGTGGTAGTATCATCTTGGGTAGGTGGGTAGTACCAGAGTAGGTAGGATGGGTAGTATCAGTGTGGGTACGTGTAGTACCAGTGTAGGCAAGTGGATAGTACCAGCTTGGGTAGGTGGGTAGTACCAGTGTTGGTAGGTGGGTAGTACCAGCGTGGGTATGTGGGTAGTACCAGTGTGGGGAGGTGGGTAGCACCAGTGTAGAGAGGTGGGTAGTACCAGTGGGGGTATGTGGGTAGACCCGTTGGGGAGGTGGGTACACCATGTAGGGAGGTGGGAATACATGGGGTATGGGGTAGCCCGTGTTGGAGGTGGATATACCAGCTTGGGTAGGGGAAAATACCCGTGGGGTAGGTGGGTAGTACCCAGTTGGGAGGTGGGTAGTCCAGTGTGAGGAGGTGGGGTAGCAACATGTAGGTACGTGGATAGTAACCCCCTTGGGTAGGTGGTTAGTACCGTGTAGGTAGGGGTGGAGTAACCGTGTGGGTAGGTGGGTATACCAGGGGGTAGTGGGTAGTACCATGAGGGAGGTGGTGTACCGCTTGGGTAGTTTGGGGAATACAGTGTAGATAGTGGGTAGTACCCGTTTTTGGGGAGGTGGGTAGTCCAGGGGGGGTAGGTGGGAGCAACAGTGTGGGAGGTGGATAGTACCAGCTTGGGTTGTGGGTTTACCAGTGTAGGGGGGGGGTAGTCCCGTGGGGTATGTGGGAAGTACCAAAATGGGTTTGGTGGGTAGCACCATTGGTAGGGGGGATCCCTGGGGGATGGGGATACATGTAGGGAAAGGGGAATAGTGTCAGTTTTGGGGAGGAGGGTATACCAGTGTAGGTAGTTGGGTAGTACCGTGGGGTATGGGTAGTGCCAGTGTGGATACTGTGTAGGGGGGGATGTCCCCTTGGGTAGGGGGTATACCAGTGGGGGTTGGTGGGGGTTTCCAGTGTGGGAGGTGGGTTTCCAAAAGTGGGGAGTGGTGTACGTTTGGGGAAGTGTACCAGGTATTTGGGGTTTGTACCAGTGTAAGTAGGTGGGTGTACAAGTGGGGTAGGTAAAGGTAGTACCCCCCCTTGGGGGGAGTGGTGTACGTTTGGGTAGGTGGGTATACCAGTTAGGTAGGTGGTAGTACCAGTTTGGGTAAGTAGTACCAGTGTATTTTGGTGGGTAGACCAGTGGGGGGGTACCCGTGAGGGAGGGGGATACCATGTGGGTTTTGGGTAGTAGTTTTGGGGTTTCCAGCTTGGTAGGGGGGTATTTCCGTTTGGGGAGGTGGGTAGTACCATGCAGTTAGTGGGGGGGACCCGTTGGTATTGGGTATACCAGTTGGTAGGTGGGCGTACCTGGTAAGTAGGGGGTTTCCAGTGAAAGGGGGTGGGGTACCAAAATTGGGGAGGGGGGTAGTCCCGGGTTATGGGTAGTACCAGTTGGGAGGTGGTAGTACCAGTGTAGGTACTTAGTAGTACCAGTGTAGGTAGGTGGGGTAGTGAACCAGTTTGGGTAGGTGGGTAGTACCAGTGTGGGTAGGTGGGTAGTACCAGTGTAGGTAGGTGGGTAGTACCAGTTTGGGTAGGTGGTAGTACCAGTGTGGGTACTTAGGTAGTACCAGTGTAGGTAGGTGGGTAGTACCAGTTTGGGTAGGTGGTAGTACCAGTGTGGGTACTTAGTACCAGTGTAGGTAGGTGGGAGGTTACCAGTTTGTAATATATCTATGGTAATTTATACTTTTGTCATCTTTGCTGTCCACTGGTAGGTTTGGGTGGGGGTACCAGTTGTGATATATCTAGGTATATTTTTCTCTTTATCTTCCTCTAAATTTATTGAGCTGTACCCCGGGGTTCATTGCATGTTAGTGGCCCCCCTGTCGACACACGGGCCTGTTCTGATTGGGCACTTTAGACAAGGTAGAATCCAAAGTTTCCTCTTGAAAACCAGGCTCACCTGTTTCCAGCAATATTTCTAATATATGCTGGTAGAAGGTTCAATGTAGAGTAAAGATACCCAGATGTTGTTATTGTGTACCACGGATGTTGATACAGTGTTCACTTACTGTGTGCATGGCACCTCTGCTTTATTGTACCCATGACTGCTTCACTGTGCTTGTTTTAAACTTCATCTCATATCTATCATTCCATTAGGTTATGATGATACGTAGTGTGAAGATTTGTGACTAGGCTCTCGGTTATCTTCGCGAATATATCATTATCTCTCTTCTTCATTCCAGGAAATATATTCCAGGTACCATGAGGTCCTCAAGTAATTACACGCTGTGTTAGCTCTCTATAGTATGTCTTCCAGTTGTTATATTTCTCCTGCCTAAAACGGAGACATCAACTCCGAGCAGTATGCTAGACGTTAGAGCACAATTCTAATCATGTAACTATCAGCATTATTTTATTTTTCAAAATTTCCATTATCCGTCCTGTTATTTTTCTGGTTTTCGCGGGACTTGCGTCACTGTATTATCTAAATGATGACTCAGCTGACATTATAACATTCATGTCTTTCACAAGGTTCTTTTCGTTCTAGGAGATGGTTCTTGTGTGTTTTGTATTCAGTACACCTTTGAGTTCATTCTTTCCACATCTGAACAGCTGCAATATGTCCCTACTAATCATCAAATTATACTTTAGTGTCCGCTGGAAGACTGGTCTACACCCTCTTGTAATTTTTCAGCGTCTTCTACCGAGGTGACTTGCATGTTCAATTTTGTATCATCTACAAAGAATAAAAAGATGTGGTTAATGTTTTTATCAGTGTCCGCTATGAGAATGAGGAACAGTAATGGCACCAGGAACGTGCCTTGGGGTACTCAACTTTTTACTTTCCAATGGCTAGATTTTTCTGTTTATTTCTGCTCCTCGTGTTTTATTCCTCACTAAATCAAATACTCACATATCTACTTTTCCCTTATACTTAATGACCTTAGTTTACGTGCTATAATTGAATTATGATCGCATTTGTCAGTGCCTTCGCGAAGTCCATGTGAACCATATATGTGATTTTGTCATACTGGTTTATTTAGAGAGGCATTATCTTCCTGCTCTAAATCCATAGTGACTTGAGTTATACAGACTGTAGATGAATGGTTCAGAGAACCGACACGTTGATAAATTAGACACATGTGCAACACTTGGGTATCTTTAATTAGGAAACGTTTCGACACACAGTGGCTTCATCAGTCCATATAATGGAGAATGGTGAAGAATAGGAGGAGTTTGAGGTATCAGTCCCTCAGCCTTGAGTCGATGTAACCAGTCCATCAATCTTAAAAAGAATACGGCATATGTGCGAAGAAGCAGCTTATATACCATAGGAAGGAGAGGTGCAGCAGTTGAAGGTGGTGTCACATTTGTCCAATGTGGAAGTAGGTCGTGCCCAAGCTACTTCTTCGCACATTATGCTGCATTCTTTTCAAGATTGA